ATGTGGATATCAAAGTTATATATACATATATAAGTCTATTAAATTTCTGTGAAAATATGATGGGCTTGGTTGTCATTTGTTTCTGTCTTGTGTAAACTTTGCAAATATGTTTTATTTTTTTGTTTTATATTTAATGTGGGATTTCTAGTTTGCATAGGATATAACCTGTGGGGATATCATTGCTGACGGTGTCCCTGTTGGGGTGCACAATACATGAAACCTGTGCAATCTGTGTTGGTTTGAATTGCCACTTTATTTCCTTACTCATTACTTTTCAACTACATTGGGGTAGGTAGGCCGCAAGGTTGTGGCGTGTGTATATGCACATGACTGACCACTGATTTCACCTCATGCAAAGCATGTATAACATTATGTGAGAGCGAATATAATATTATGTATCAATGATTTTGAGATGCACTTCATAAAAGATATCAGCTTGATGTAAACAGTTATTACCAGACGTTACCATAGTTGAATTCTTATTCTGCAAATATAAGTTACCGTGACCAACTTTCTTCAACATTTTGAGGGCACATAATCGGAACAGGTTTGTGGGCTACCCTCTCACTGCAAGGGTTAAGTGCTCGTTTTGGTCTAGGGAGGTCAATAAAAGTTATACGCACCTGATCCTCCAAGCCAGCTTGCTCTTAGACCGGTCCTTCCAGCCTCTCTCCCCCTCTGCTGCAGCAGTCTAAGGTCCTGTGAGTCATCACGTTCTATACACAGTGTACAGAATGTGAGGATGCTGAGGGACATACCATTGCTGCAGCAGAGCGGGAGACAGGCGAGAGGGAGCACTGTCACATCCGGCTGGCTTAGAGGATCAGGTGAGTATAACTTTATTTTCCTTCCTAGCCATTAAAGTGGACCTTTACCCCCTTTTGACTAAAAATCACATCAGCATACAGCTTTGCATACTGATATGAAATCATCTTACATTCATTAAAAAATATTTTTCTTTTACTTACAATTACTTGTTTTCTTCTTCCTGGTCTATTTTGGCACAGATGATGTAATGTGCCCAAGTGTTGCATCCTGGAAAGGTTACATCAGCAGGGAATTGCTGGTAAATCTCATCTGTAATCCCATGAGATCTCAGGGAAAGGCATTTTCATCCCCTGAGATGATGTGCATGGTCACATGTCCTAGTCACATGTACCAGAGTTCCAGGAAGTAAAGTGAGAACTAGTAATATGCCTTTAAAATGGCCACTTGTCAGAAGACTGGGAATGAAAAAAGAAATGAGGAATGCAAAGAATACAGATTATCTAGAAGTGTGTGTGTGTAGATTGTCATTACTAAACATTTCTAAAGGTTTGTTTGTTGTTATTTTGAAGATTTGGGTAAAGGTCCCCTGTAACCTTGCAGTGCAGGGGTAGCCCCATTGCAAGGGGTAATAAAAGTTTTTTCCCCGGACATTCTTTAAATGTTTGGTGGTTGGGTTAGGTTGTTTTTTGGTTCTTGAGTTTGGGGCATACTTTCTTTTTGGCAGCTATACTTAATACGTCATATTTTAGATGCCTATAAAGTATTATCTGGTACAGGGGTTTATGGGCATCAAAGCCAATAATTAAAAACCTTAATCAGAGCAAGACCTTGTGCAGAGTGAGAGGAAATTCTCCTAGGCTTCCTCCTAAGCACTTAACTTAGCCAAGGGGAAAGCTGAAAAGAGATCTGGCAATTAGATCTCATTGGGGGGTAGGGTGTATGGGGATTCCTGCCAATACCCATGGTTCTGCAGGGAGTCCCGCAGAAGAGTAATTCCAAACCACTAATGAATGTATGTTATTGGCATAGCAGATCTAGGCCATTTGAGGAGAGACTACGGACACATGACCCAGGTGACTCAATCTAGTTTCAACTCTGGTGGAAACAGATACGCAATATCATTAGGAGAAAGTAGCATTAAAGCAAAACCGTGGAGTGGTTCCATGGTGTTAATCTGGCAGGCATCTCCACTTTCAGAAGCTTGAAATCCCAATGTATGGTCACTGTGTAACTCACCCATTCCCATGCCTTTGACCATTGAGGCCACCCATCATATCACATGCGCTGAGAAAGGGGCAGGCTACACGGCAACCATGCAAATGCTGGTTTTCTGAATATATTGATGAGGTCTGTTAGGACAGAAACCACTTTAACAGCATGGAACATCCCAACTGGAACACTTTCCCATAAAGTTTCCTTACCATTTTTTGCCCAAACTCTCCTTCCCCAATCAAATCGCTCTTATTACCTAGATCTTACTCCGAGGCCCACTTCATTGTTTACATTTCTCAGCCAACTTTCTGATTCGGTGTCCACACATGTGCAGGTCAGGTCCATAGATTGATTCCTATCCGCTGTCGGTCCCATAGTAATCTACCAGCCCCATAGAAGTCTATGGGGTTGAACCACACACACACAATGGATCAAGAAGCTGGCTGAGGAATGTATACAATGCGCTGGGCCTCAGCGCAAGATCTAGGTAACTGGTGATCTGGAGGGGGGTCAGCTGGACCTGCTTAGCGATGAGGATAAAAGGTTAAGGAAACTTTGTGGGAAAGTTTCTTTACCCTTTAAGAAAATTAGAAGAGGATTGAGGAAAATGAGTTCCCTGTTAAAAGACGATGTGCAAAAAGAATACACAAGTCATATAAAGGTTAAAATAAAACAAACTTTACTTTAAAATTACAACAAGCAGTTATCTGCTTATTTGTGATGGAACATTAACAAATGCCTTACAGGCATGCCGGGTTACACATGCCTGTTATTTGGGGATATTAGTAAATGTATTTTAAAATATTGCATTGAAACAGTTATTCACACATTACAAAAATATAGATATACATACATTTACCTTCGTACCTTTATCATTAATTAGAAGACGCCAAGATCAAATATGGTGCAAACAAACACAAAAGCACAAATGGCCATCAGTTCATGGTGGCTCACAGATTTTCAGCATTGTTCAGAAAAAAAAAAGAAAGTACAGTAACCTGAAGCAAGTACTTTATTCATCAGACTTTTATAAATGGAACTGTGATTGGTTGCTGAGGATAATTGCACTTTGTCTTTATTGGATGGCTTTAATGGACTGACCCAATGTTTTTATAGAGATGA